GAGTCAGAATCGACCTGCAAGTTGAGGTAGACTTTGGTATATTGTCCGTTGTACAGTGTCAAAATCTACTTGGGGCTACCTTGATTTTTGGTATACGATGTCACGGCGACCCTCCGATCCTAATCCACGGCTCCACCGGGATCACCCATGGCACGGGGAGTGATTGTATCTTGACTTGTTCTATTCTGTATACTCTGTTTAACTATCTAACTATACTACATAGTGTATATATAATATTGTCTTCTAGAATAATATCTTTGATATAGTACATAGTGATGTAGTCCTATAATTAAAGTGAGACTGTACCTGCTTTTCGCGGAGGGTTTGGTGAAATCATGACTTTGATGTTTCATTCTCCGTATTTCTCCGCTCCCCCGAATTCCACCGTCTCCTTTTTTTCCTTTTTCCTTTTTTTCCTTTTCGATTTTCTTTTCTTTTTCTCTTTTTTTATTTTCTGGTTTGACTAGACCAAATCCAGAAAATGGCAAATGAAATTAACGAATAAAATAAAATAAAGATGAAAAATATAAATTAATTAAATTAAAGCCCAAAACATAATATCGCATGTCATATCTGTCATTGATACTCCAGGCCTCAGCATTCTGTCAACCACCATCCAAGTACACTTTCCAACCCTCCGAGTTTTTAACATTAACATTAACATTAAGCCATTAGACTCCCGGGTGCCCATACCATACTTCTTTTCCTGCAGGGCTGTTAAACTAGGTATAAACTGTGTAAACTTGATATAAGAATACAATGGGCCAATCCGATAATGGTAATGGATAATTCAATAATCCCAAAATAATCTAAATAATCTAAATAATCTAATAATCTAATAATCTGCAAAATGATTATCACACTGTACTCCGTACCATGATTTTCCCTGTGGAGATATCACCACTCAGACCTTCTCTCTTCCCCCCCCCTTCTTTTCTTACTTCCCCTCTCTGACACTTAATTAGCCAGGGTCCCCATTTAGGTACATAGTTATTCCCTTCCCTCCCTTCTCCCAGTGGATCCAGAAAAAAAGAAAGCTTGGGAATTGCCGCAACTCAAACCGTGGAACGGGTTTCTAGTAGATCCCCATCTTTCTCTGATCGAATCGGTGCAACCTGTTGACTCGCTGACTTGGACTCGAAAGGGCCCGTGCTTCTGGCCGATCACGATCCCTGGGAATTTCTCCAACTGAGGGGTCCCAACTCAAAACCCTCCTCTTCTTCTCCATACCCTGGTCGATCTCTTAGCTTAATTCTTTTTCTTTTTCCTTTTTCCTTTTTTTTTTTAAACCCTTTGGACCATTTGATCGGGGAATATATCACTCGCAAAAGCCCGGGGGGTTGCACCTGGGATTGTATCTCTTCCACAACTCTACATCATGGTGAACGGGACCGCCGCCGTGTTAGAGCCCACATTCACCGGGTATGTCGCAACCACTCAGGACGCCTTGATCCTCTTCGAGGCATGCTTAACCGGTGTCTTGCATCATGTCCCGCGCCGCCCTCACGACAGAGAACGCAGTCATCTGGTGCGCAGCGGCAGCGTCTTCATCTACGAGGAGAATGCATCAGGCATCAAACGCTGGACCGATGGCGTCACCTGGAGTCCCAGTCGCATTCTGGGGAACTTCCTCGTTTACCGTGAGCTCGACAAGCCATTTCCTCCTGGAGAGAAGAAGCGCGCCATGAAGAAGGCCACTCGACGACCAGTGCCAGCCGGCCGGCCGGGCGAACCTTACCCGCGACACGATAGCAGCCAGGGCTATTCTCCGACATCTCCTGGCTCGGGGCCCTTCTCAGACCGTTCGTCCCATCAATCGGAGCTCGAGCGGGCATTGGTTGGGTCCCTGGTTGATTCGTACGGCTTCAAGGATTCCGGGTTAGTCAAGAAGACGATGAGCGTGACGGTTTTGGGCGTGACCCACCATTTGGTCTCATACTACAGTGTGGAGGACGTGATGCGCGGCATCCTCAACCCACCCTCGATGGTGGATTCCCTACGCTTTATCCGACCCCGCACCGAACTCACCCAGAAACAAAGCTTCCGTTCCCCGATCGACGAGCTCGAGGCGAACGCCGTGGAAAACCAAGAGCCCTCCCACGCCGCTCTATACGGATATCGCCCGCAGATGATGGCCCCTCCCACGTACGCCATGCCAAACCCTTCAAACGACTTCTACATGCACCCCAGTCCCTACGCCGCCACACATCCCCCGCAGCAAGGCCCGATCCAGGGATACTCGATGGGCGCGCCGATGGCAGCCCAAACCGCGCCAAACCCGTACCTGCCAAGCCCAGGCCAAACCGCCATCCCCCCGAAGCAGGAAGACTACCACGCATTCCGCGCAGGGCCTTATGGCGGTAGCATGGACTCCATGAGCGCACACAGCATGGCCTCCATCCCGGGCAGCATCAACGCGGGGCTCTCTAGCTCAATCAACGAACGAAACAGATCCACCTCGGATCACAGCCCTTCCGCTTACCGCAACTCTTCCATCTCTTCGCGCAGCCAGGCCACTGACGCTACTTCCCCCATGGATCCGTCAACACCGGCTACCTACTCCCGCGGCAGCTTCAGCATGTCCGGTCAACTGGAAAACCCGCACCCAGCACTCGATCGCAACATGCCTGGTCTGGATCCTACCGTTCGTCGCGAATCAAATCCCATTCATCCGTCCTACTACACTGCGGATCGCTCCCAGTACTATGTACCCGCGCCTTACGCTGCCACGCAACCCATGTCGACATGGACGACTACGGCGGCGACGCAACCACAGATGGCGCAACCTCAAATCTAATCTCTTGATACCTTTCCGTGTCTTTGGTATTGCTTATGGCCATGGAGCGTGGGAGTCAGGGCGGAATTTTGTTTCTTTTTGTTCAACTTTTCCCAACTTGCTTTTGCTTTGTTTTTCCTGGAGATAGACCCTTCTGTTCTGTTATGTTTGGGAGGAAAACGCCGTTTCATTGCTACAATATGTACCTGACAGCGGCCCCTTTCTTGTCTCTTGTCTATATGGTTATGGTCTCTTTTCTTTATGGTCTGTTACGGAGGTGGCTCTTTTGTCTTTTTTTTTGCTTTTTACAGTTTTGCTTTTACTTTACCCCCTTCGTTTTGTCTTTTTTTCTTTTCGGTGGCTCTATTGATTCTGTTCTGGGAATCCGGGTGGGTGGCGTTCTTTTATTCTTTACGATGTCATGCAAAACAACCCGATAACCCCAAAACGGTTCTATTCTTTTATTACTACTTTTACCTTCCGGACTCCGATTCCTCCTTTTTTACTTCCTTGCTCTCTTCTATATATCTATTTGCTGCCAAGGCCGCTGTATGTTTGTCTGCAATCACGGTGTCCAATGGTTTCTTTTCCATTTGGTCTGGGCGGGTTCCTGTTCTTCCTCTATTTTCTGTTCTATTCAGTTTCACGAGGACAGGTTTTAGTGATTCCCATCTCATTCCATGGTCAGTGGTCAAAGATTGCTTCAATACGTCCCCTTTTTCGCTTCCCTGGTGCTGGGAGCTGGTTCTGGATATTATCAATACGTGCGTGTACTTCGTACTTGTTTCCCCGTTCGTCTATAGTATGGATTATAGGCTCTGTGCACTAGTGGTGGCTTTTTGATACTCCGGTTCCAATATTAGCTGCTTCTGCACGACAGAATGGGTTTCTTTACTCTATATTGTATATTCTTTCCAAATACTATATTCTGTATTATATACTTTGCTCTGCCTCTGCCTTCCCTGCTAGGTGCTCTTATTGGCATAGTACGTGATACGGCTTATGAGTTTAAGATTCCGTCTTCCCCTTCTTGGTCGGTTTAACTAGGGTTAATAGTAGTCTCATAGTAACCTTGAAAGTATTGAAGTATCGCTTCTCTCCTAGTTACGTTCTGTGTTAATTACTTCGTTGGCAATTAATCATATTTTAGGCACAGTGTACATATATATCGAGGTACGGTACAGCTTTGTTTTTATACTATAACTTTATTCGGACTACATCCATAGTCTGTTTGGGCAGCATAACCCTTAAGCAAATATGATTTTCTACTATGCCTGGAGAATATAGAATCAAAAACCGTGAAATCATACCCAGGCAATATTTATATGCCACAAGCACCTCGAACAGGCTTCCTTTTCAAACCCCAACCCTTTTTGAACACCGTCAATGTCTGAGATTGATCTTCATCGATGTTTAGGTCACTGATGTTCGCTCTGTGCCACAAGATACGTCCTGTCAAGTATTCCAAGAGGCCAATCTTAGATGCAGATGCACAGCCTTCCATTTCTCGGACATGTAATTCCTTGACCAATTTCCCAATGCGCAGATCCGGGGGTTCTTGCCGCTTGTTTGTCGCTGTGTCTGGCTTTTTACCCTTTCCTGTGGTGCTCTTGGTACTTTTGTTGCGCGGCAGTAGCTTTTTGAATGGGACAGAGGCGACATCTTCCCATTCTGCTTCAGTTTTGGGAATGTCAAGATCGGCCCACCACTTCGCCTGTGTCATTTATTCCAAGTTAGTTCCCGCTCACTTCAGTAACATTAGAAATTGGAAAGGTGGTAACTTACCATTGTGCCGCGCTCTGGTGGAGTGAGGAGGTAGCTTTGAGTCCATATTTCGAACGGCAGTAGCAGCCAGATCCAATCTGAACTCACATATCGCTAATGGGTATCTCAATCAGTAGTAGCATACTCAAACAAACATTAGAGAAACACAATCAAGTAAATGCACAGAGAGAATCCAGAGTCAGAGAAGAGAGGTAAATGTCGAAAACGCTTTCGTCCAAATCAAGAAGAAAGCAAACTAATCAAGTCTCATCAAAGCAGATGATTGATATCCCACACAGCGCATTTGATCGAGACAAGACAAGACGAAAGACCAGATAGACAACGAACTTGCATTTGAAGTGCACATGGTTAAAATCCACTCCACACCAACATGCCGTGAGTGAAGTGTGAAACTGACCGCAGAAGTGCTATCAGGGCGGCATGCGGAATGGCTTCGTCTTCAGCTTCTGGGAATTGAGCGAGATACTGCAGCCTGGGTCTTCGAGTTAACACCACTCATACCTCTCCGATGACCACGAGCACCACCAACCGGATCCCGTCTCGCAACGCGTCTGGGAGTCCCAGGCGTGTGAACCGGCTTCTTCGATAGATGAAGCAACGCACGATCTTCCTCCTCCTCATCAGGACCAGCGTCAGGGCCATCCCCCTCCGCGATCTCCGAAAGGGTGTGGCTCCGCTGCTGCGGACGCGCGTCCGTATGCGGGACAATCGACTCTGTTAGGCTTGGCGAGGAGGTTGTGGAGGTGTTTGATGTCCCGCTCGCCACGTGTGTACTGGGGAATTCCCGTGCTTGCGTGCGCCGTAGGCTTGGTGTGCGGCGAGGGGACAGAGGGGAGGGAGCCTGTCTTATATGTGCCAGGTTGGTGAGGTGTGTGGTGGTGGCGGGGTCGAGGTGGAGGTGGAGGTTCAGAGGAATGCTTATGGCGGCTGTTGGGGGGATTCTGGAGGGGGTTGTTGGTGCTGAGTGAGGGTGAGGGTGAGGGTGGGGATGAGGTGTTTTGGGGGAGTAGTGGCTTTGGCTTTGGTTTTGGTTTTGGGTCTGGGAGGACACTTGCTGCGGGCGGGAATGGGTTTCTTCCCTCCTCGGCTGGATGGTCCAGAGGTTTTGTAGGGTCGTCTGAAGGAGGCTGTTCTGCAGGGAGAGACTGTTCTGCAGTTGTTGCTGGTACGGGATTGGATTAAGAGACCCGTACTGTCCTGGGTAGGTGCCCTGGAAGTGATCCTCAGGGATGCCGGTCTCGGCTGGGATTTGGATCTGAAAGAAGTATCTATTAGTTTCGGCTCACTTCATATGAATCGCTTGGCTGGTAAACATACCTGACGACTGAACTTCCTTCCCGGCATGGCGATGTACTCATCGAACATGCTCCCGAGTTCTGCAAAGTTGAACCCGCGCACCGGGTTCACGGGCTCAAACCGCTGTCCGACTTCTTGTTGGAAATTGACGCCCCGGCGTTTCAAAGGTTGGTACTCGGGCAGTTTCAGCAGCAATGATGGGTAACTGCCAATCATCGCGTCGATGACGGGGTCGACATCGATCGACAGGGAAATTTTGCTATTTGCCGAGGGCTTTTGAACTAACATGACAAAGGTAAACTCTCGTGGTAGACCGGACCGCTGGACATTGTTCTCTTCCATGGACCAAACGATTTTGCCAGCTTCGACGTCGAATTCGCGGCCAGCTGGGTTCTTCAAAGTACGCGCAGAACCTTGGATACGCATCATCTCATAGCGCTTGTACCGGCCATTGAGGCTCCCCGAGGAAATGACGCTTGCACTAACGGGCATCTCCGAGATTCCAAGGGATCCAGCCAGACTGAATGTCCACTCCATGGTCTCCGGGGAAACACTGCCATAGATCAGATGCGGCGCATGCATAAGGAAGCGTGGATTACCGGGTGGATGTCCATAAGGGTATGACTTTGAACTTGAAAGATCACGGTTCCCATGAACTGATACACTAATCGTGGCGGACTTGATGCGGTGCGTGGTAGTGTGCGGCGAATGAAAGGTGAATGCAATGGCGAGAAAATCCACGTGTTCAGCATCCTCATCTGAGACGGTGTCGCTGGAGTAATAGCCATGCTGAAGTCGTTGGACATGTGCGGTGATATAAGCATCACCGGGCAGTTGGCGCTCATAGATGAGAGCACGATTGATAGTTAGGCGTGGATCCGCCTTATTTGGATCTGGTGGTTCCTTTTCTTTGACTGGTGGTGCACTGCGAATTGGAGTTAACGAGCGTGAGTCCGTGACACGCCCATTTTGGACAGAAGTAAACGACATCGTGGCGACCGCAAAGCGTTAAGACCGCAGTTTCGTTCTCGCTCTCCATCTGGCTCTAAGGCTCCTTATAGACGCGGACGCGGGTAATTTGACTTGGCTTGCGTGGCATATTGTCCTAGATAATATTATATATGACTACTTAGACATGGATTAGCATTTTCTTTGACGTTTTTTTATCACCTGGGGTTCTAGGTCACAGGAATGGCGGAGGTTATCAGGTGAGCATAGGCTTGATCATGATCACTGTGATGCAACCCCTGGCATCGGGAACCTAAATATGATATTGTCATTTTCAAGGATGTGCAATTCAATAGAGACAGACGCAGTGTCATATTAATTTCTATATACGAGAGTAGGAGAAGAAGAGGAAGAATTGTTGCATGTGGAGGATATAGAGACGGGCGGATAAACAATTTATCCGGCTAGAAACTCATCGCCGAGGCACAATCTCCAATGTTCATCTCTAACCTCTGGCGACCGTGATCTAGAACTTTTTCGTTCTAGCTCATTGGATTTCTGGTAGAGCTGATCTACATTTTGTGCTCTCTTATATGTATGCCCTATTCAGCCAAGTGGCCCCAAATTCTGACATCCAGCTAACAATTCCTAGATTGTGTTTGTACTATATAGCATTCTGTCGTTTTATTTGCATTCCCTGCGCTATCGGCTTGTTCGTTTGTTTTATTTTTGTTTGGGGTTTCTGAATTTGCAAGTTTACTAGCAATTGTGCGACGTGACAGCTTCTGTTGGTCCCCCCCCTAGCTGACCACTTGCACCGAATCACCATTGCATAGCCCGAAACCACCGGGTATGCACAGTTGAAACTCTTGGCTGAAAGCTTGTGACTATTCGTGTAGCTGGTCAATTTTGAGTTTCTCCCTACGCCTGCCGTTGTCACCTTTGTGCTGGTGTCACCATGATTGGCTCATGCGCAGCCCAGTTGTCCCTTCGGGCGAGACAGCAGGGATCCCAAGTGCTGTTCAAGAACGCACGTCTTTCTGTTCGGTCAGATTTGTTCAAGACTGAAGCTCTTCGGAGGGATGGATTCCGGTGTCTATCTACATCAGTCCAGTCGACATCAAACCGAGTACCAAATGGGTATGGTCGCTTGCCGCTTCTTCATTTATGCAATTCTAACTGTTCACTAGAGGATTAAAACCTCGTTGTCTGCAGAGGAGCTTGATCTCGCCATCATTCTTTACCCAGCAAAGATGGTCTGGGTCAAAATCGCCAGAAAACAAAACCCCTGAACAGTAGGTTTACAGCCTTCAAGCCGAGATACCCAATATCCGAATGGGACATAGGTCAAGCAAATCAGCAACTAACCCAGCGTAGACCCGAGGAATCCAAGAAAACCCCTGTTCTATCGCGGATTCCCCTACCAACCTCCCATGAGAATATCTACACTGTGCCCAACATTCTCACATTCTCCCGGCTAATCGCCGCCCCCGTGGTCGGGTATCTTCTTGTCCACAACTACCACACAGCAGCTCTATCCCTGTTTGCCTACGCGGGCATCACCGACCTTGTCGATGGCTACATCGCCCGGCGGTATAACCTCCAAACGGTGGTTGGAACCATCATCGATCCCATGGCCGATAAGCTATTGATGACCATTGGTGTTGCGTGTCTCGCCGTGAATGGCTCCCTTCCTGGTAAGTCTCGTATTGATCACTTGATGGTGTTTGGACAGGACATGGACATGGATTGACGCATTAAATAGTGTGGCTCGCTGTGATCATCCTCGGTCGCGACGTTGGTCTGGCTATCTCGGCTATCTACTACCGCTGGATTTCACTGCCTGAGCCTAAGACTATGGCCCGGTACTGGGACTTCTCGCTTCCCTCGGCGGAAGTCAAGCCTACCGAGATCTCAAAGATCAATACTGCCCTGCAGCTGGTGTTGGTGGGTAGTGCGATTGCGCTGCCTGTGGTCCCTGAGGCATTTGTCAGTGCTTGGCATTTGAGCGAGGCTATGACTGGATTCCAGTAAGTTTGGTTTTTTCTTGTTTTATACCCACTTTTATTTTCTCTTTTTGTCTTTTCTTTGTTTTATGTGGAACACCAGTCCTCAGTGATCCGACCTAAGGCACATTGAGGTTGGTTCCAGTACATACGACCATAGGGTGTGGAAAACAGGGCTTCCCGTCCGCTCAGCCGTACTTAAGCCACACGCCGGTGAGTTAGTAGTTGGGTGGGTGACCACCAGCGAATCCTCACTGTTGTATGTTTTTGTTTTGTTTTTTGTTTTTATTGTCTTCTTTTCTACTTCGCTTTGTTTATGGCATTGTTTCATTGGGGCTTGTTGCTAACTAATTCTAGGTACCTCGTTGCCGGCACCACTCTCTGGTCTGGACTTAGCTATGTCTTCTCCAACAACGCCGTGAAGATCCTTTCAAAGGAAGAGATCCAGAAGCGGGTTGCTCAAGCAGCTGCTAAGCGCAAGTAGCGATCAAAAATAACACCTAGATAGGTAGAGTTAGAAGTTCTATTGTATAGTATTCAAAGTTTGATTTTTGCCGCACGAGTCAGACCGTCTTTTTCTAACAGGGATTGCGCATATGGAGTCTTGAACATGCATATGGATTTCGACGGGTTTCTATGGATTGAAATATGAACCACATGGGTGTGTAAAAGGAGGTGTAGCGTGCATATCTGCATGTGATATGTCTGACATGGCAACGTGGGGGTACGTAGTTTGATAAATAGCTTACCAGGGAGCCCTGGTTACCTATGTTAGATGTGAAGGTGCTAAGGTTAAGTTTTCCCTATTTTCCTATTTTTTAAACGGCAATTAATTGCATAAGCTACTACGGAATACTCCGTACTATGTAAAAATATATACTATATATGTGGAGAAGAAAAACGAACCCGATGGAACCGATGGAACCATCTGCCGAGCTCTCGGTAGTGTGAATTAGGTGTCCCGATGTTTCTGCGAACCTAGGTAGGTCGCTTAGATCAAAAAAGTCAGATTACCAAGATCTCTTAGAGTCGGGGTACGCTTTGGGCCGAGTGGATCAATGCGATTTTGGAAAGTCGCCGAACTATTCTAGTACATACTCCGTCCATACATATATGTTTGAGTTAGGAAGGCGGGCCGATAGCGTACGCCACCCCGATTTGATATTTCTTTGTTATATATCCTAGTATTAGAGGATTTTACAGGGGTTTACAGAGGTTTTACCTTATTAAAAAGCATTCATAAGCAAGATTGTTAATCCATTCTACAAGGGTATAATGGTATCAAAGAAAAAAGAAGGAAAAAAGAAAAAAAATCGCCGGAATATAAAAGCCGGCCCCACGTGCTTTCATAAGCCTCCAAGGCTGATAAGGCGATAGGAATGGATATTCCGTTTGATGACAAGCTGATCAGCCAATCAACAGCCAGCAAGTCATCTGAAACTCGGGCCTAAGCCTAACTCCGTGAAGGCTTGAGATTTGAAAATTCTTTTTGGCCTGAACTAACCTGATTCAGCCTGATTCAATGTGATTCAACCTGACTCATGTACTCTCTGTGACTCCACTATAGCTCTTGAAGTCGAGACTCTGCCTCATTATCTCGCTTATGATTCGACGTTCATCTTAGTTCTTCCAAGGGTCCAAAAATTTCCGTTTTAGCGACTGACAAATGCACCCCGGGGTTAAGTGAATATTCTGACATTCTCCCAATATAAACGGCGTTCAGTCCTCTTTGCTCTTCTCCTTAAATATTTCCTTTATAATTCTCTTCTTTCTTTATAATTCCTGTTTACATTCCCCTCTTTTCTTTCCTAATTCTATTCATATCCCCTCCTTTAATTAGCCTGGCTATAACATAATACATATTTATCTGCCATTGAATGTTACCGGAGAGTAGAACCTACCCGAGCCCCGACATGGAGGGCCATTCCGAACAGTCGCATACCGTCTCGGATTCCCAGGCCCATATCCAGTCCTCCAGGCAACAATCCAGCTCAACTGGCGAGACCTACCACCATGATGCAAGCTCCGGACCCACCACGGAACAAGTCCACCAGACCACCGAAGCTCCCATTGATGCAACTTTAACCGACAGCTCAACCGTCAGCTCGTCGGTAAGCGACGAAGATGGCCGCTGGGGAGAGCAGAAGGCCGGAAAGGCCGTGTCCCGCAGCGGCGCTATGGAGGACATGGAAGAGATGCGCCGCGAACTCACCCGTCTCAGCCTGAGTCGCACCCGCTCTGCCACTAAGAGTCTTCGTCGCCGAAAGTCGCAGGCCAGCCGCCGCGATGAAGAAAAAGGCCAGGACGAAGAAGAGACCGAGGACGAGGCTGCCGACAGCTTCGATCTAGGTGAGTTCCTAACCGGTGGTCATCTGGAGCGTCGCACGACCGCTGGCGAACCCGCCAAGAAGGTCGGCGTTGTCTTCAAGAACCTTACCGTGCAAGGCGTGGAGACTGGCGCATCCTTCGTGCGCACCCTCCCCCAGGCTGTGGTCGGCACCTTCGGCCCGGACTTGTACAATATCGTCTGCCGGTTCGTGCCGCAGCTGCGGTTCGGCAAGCACCCCCCCTGTTCGCGATCTGATCCATGATTTCAGCGGCGCCGTGCGCGAAGGTGAGATGATGCTGGTACTGGGCCGTCCCGGTGCTGGTTGTACCACCTTCCTCAAGGCGATCGCAAACGACCGTGCTGCTTTCGCTGGTGTCAATGGCGAGGTCAGTTATGGTGGCCTCTCCGCCGAAGACCAGAACAAGCACTTCCGTGGAGAAGTCAACTATAACCCGGAAGACGATCAGCACTTCCCCTCCCTCACTGTCTGGCAAACCCTTAAGTTCTCTCTCATCAACAAGACCCGCAAGCATGACCGGGAAAGCATCCCCATTATCATCGATGCCCTGCTGAAGATGTTCGGTATCACTCACACCAGGAATACCCTCGTTGGCAACGAGTACGTCCGCGGTGTTTCTGGAGGTGAGCGCAAGCGTGTGAGTATCGCAGAGACCCTGGCCACCAAGTCCTCAGTGGTCTGCTGGGATAACTCGACTCGCGGCTTGGATGCCAGCACCGCACTGGACTACGCCAAGTCCCTCCGCATCATGACCGATGTCAGCAAGCGCACTACCTTCGTCACACTGTACCAAGCTGGAGAAAGCATCTACGAGCTCATGGACAAGGTGATGGTCATTGATGAGGGCCGTATGCTCTATCAAGGTCCAGCCAATGAAGCACGACAATACTTCATCGACCTGGGCTTTTACTGTCCCGCGCAATCCACTACAGCCGACTTCCTTACTTCGCTCTGCGACCCCAATGCCCGCGAATTCCAGCCTGGCCGTGAAGCCTCCACCCCGAAGACCGCCGAGGAACTTGAAAACGCCTTCAAGAACAGCCTGGCCCACAAGCGTATCTTGGAGGATGTTTCCAGCTACGAGAAACGTCTCCAAGACACCCAGCAGGAGGACACCCGCCGCTTCCAGTCCACCGTCGCGCAGTCCAAGTCCAAGTCCGTCTCCAAGAAGTCACCATATACCGTTTCGTTCGTGCGCCAGGTCATGGCTTGCGTGCAACGCGAGTTCTGGCTGCTCTGGGGTGACAAGACCTCTCTCTACACGAAGTATTTCATCGTTATCTCCAACGCCCTCATCGTTTCCTCCTTGTTCTACGGAGAATCTCTAGATACTAGCGGCGCTTTCTCGCGTGGCGGTGCTCTGTTCTTCTCGATTCTGTTCCTTGGTTGGATGCAACTGACTGAGCTGATGCCTGCTGTCACTGGCCGCGGCATTGTGGCCCGCCACAAGGATTACGCTTTCTACCGCCCCTCTGCCGTCTCCATTGCCCGTGTCATTGTCGACTTCCCTGCTATCTTGGCCATGGTTATTCCGTTCACGATTGTCGTCTATTTCATGAGTGGTCTCGATGTCACGGCTTCCAAGTTCTTCATCTACTTCCTGTTCGTGTACACGACCACCTTCTGCATCACCTCGCTCTATCGTATGTTCGCTGCGCTGTCCCCGACCATCGATGACGCGGTGCGATTCAGTGGTATTGCGCTGAACCTGCTTATTTTGTTTGTCGGTTATGTCATTCCCAAGCAGACTCTTATCAAGGACTCTATCTGGTTCGGGTGGCTGTTCTATGTCAACCCGATCGCGTACAGTTACGAGGCCGTCTTGACAAACGAGTTCTCCGATCGTGTCATGGAGTGCAATCCATCTCAGCTTATTCCACAGGGTCCAGGCGTGGACCCCAGGTACCAGGGCTGTGCTTTGACTGGATCGACATTAGGCGAATCATCTATTACCGGATCTCAGTACTTGACTGCCAACTTCCAGTTCACGCGCAGCCATCTCTGGCGTAACTTTGGTGTTGTCATTGCCTTCACTGTGCTGTACCTCCTCGTTACTGTCATCGCTGCTGAGGTTCTCTCGTTCGTTGGTGGTGGAGGCGGTGCTCTGGTCTTCAAAAAGTCCAAGCGCACTAAGAAGGTCGCTACCCCGGCCAGCAACGATGAAGAGAAGGTCGCCAATGCAAATGACAACGCCGCCCTTGCCCGTGGCCAGGCCTCTTCTGATAATGGTGCCTCTTTCAACCGTCTGTCCTCAAGTGAGCGCTGCTTCACCTGGCAGAATGTCGAATACACTGTCCCATACGGCAACGGAACACGCAAGCTGCTCAACGGTGTCAGCGGCTACGCCAAGCCCGGTGTCATGATCGCCTTGATGGGTGCCTCTGGTGCTGGAAAGACGACGCTACTCAATACTTTGGCCCAGCGCCAGAAGATGGGTGTCGTGACCGGTGATATGCTCGTCGATGGCCACAAGCTGGGTCCTGACTTCCAGCGTGGTACAGGTTTCTGTGAGCAAATGGATCTGCACGACAATACCGCTACTATCCGCGAAGCCTTCGAATTCTCAGCCATCCTCCGCCAGCCACGCGATGTCCCGCGCCAGGAGAAACTCGACTACGTGGACCGCATCATCGACCTTCTCGAACTTGAGGATATCCAAGACGCCATCATCGGCTGTCTCACCGTCGAGCAGAAGAAGCGTGTCACCATTGGCGTCGAGCTCGCAGCCAAGCCCAGTCTGCTTCTGTTCCTGGACGAGCCCACCTCCGGTCTCGACAGTCAAGCCGCATTCTCCATCGTCCGCTTCCTCAGGAAACTCTCGCAAGCCGGCCAGGCCATTGTCTGCACAATCCACCAGCCTTCCTCCATGATCATCCAGCAGTTCGACATGATCCTCGCTCTCAACCCCGGCGGCAACACCTTCTACTTCGGACCCGTCGGCAAAGAAGGCTCCGCCGTGATCAAGTACTTCGGCGACCGCGGCGTCGTCTGCCCTCCATCCAAGAACGTCGCCGAGTTCATCCTCGAAACAGCCGCCAAACCAAACCACCGCGACGGCAAGCTCCTGGACTGGAACGAAGAATGGCGCAACTCAGACCAAAACCGCGAAATGCTCGCCGAAATCGAGAACATCCGCGCCGAGCGCAGCAAAGTCCCCATCGAGGAAACCGGCTCCGCCCAATACGAATTCGCCGCCTCGACCACAACCCAAACCATCCAGCTAACGAAACGCCTCTTCACAAACTACTGGCGCGACCCATCCTACTACTACGGCAAACTCTTCGTCTCAGTCATCATCGGCATCTTCAACGGCTTCACCTTCTACAAACTCGGCAACGACGTAGCCTCCATGCAAAACCGCATGTTCTCCGTCTTCCTGATCATCCTCATCCCACCCATCGTCCTGAACTCCATCGTGCCGAAATTCTACATCAACCGCGCCCTCTGGGAAGCACGCGAATACCCATCCCGCATCTACGGCTGGGTCGCCTTCTGCACCGCCAACGTCGTCTGCGAGATCCCAGCAGCTATCATCTCAGGCCTGATCTACTGGCTGCTATGGTACTACCCCGTCGGATTCCCCACAGACTCCTCGAACGCAGGCTACGTCTTCCTCATGACGATGCTGTTCTTCTTTTTCCAGGCTTCGTGGGGCCAGTGGATCTGCGCCTTCGCGCCTTCCTTCACCGTCATCTCCAACGTCCTCCCCTTCTTCTTCGTCATGGTCAACCTCTTCAACGGTATCGTCCGTCCCTACGCCGATTACCCCGTCTTCTGGAAATACTGGATGTACTACGTCAACCCCGTTACCTGGTGGCTGCGTGGTGTGCTCTCGGCTGTTCTGCCCGATGTCCAGATTGAGTGCGCCCCGCTCGAAGCTACTCATTTCAACCCCCCCGCCTGGTCAGACCTGTGATGCTTATGCTGGTGGCTTTGTCGATTCGGCTAAGGTCGGTTACCTCGTTAACCCCCCAGGCTACCTCGGACTGCCAGTATTGTCCCTACACGGATGGCGTGCAGTATATGGCGAACTTGAATGTTCATCTTGAGGATAAGTGGCGTTGCTTTGGGATTTTCCTTGCCTTTGTTATTATTAACTGGGCTTTGGTTTATTTCTTTATCTACACGGTTCGTGTGAGAGGTTGGAGCTTTGGTATTGGTTCGCTGTTTGGTGTGGCTGGAATGATGGTCGATCGTGTGAAGGGGTTGTTCAAGGGGAAGAAGAGTGATGAAGCCTAGAGGCTTCAAAAGTTTGGTGACTGTTTTCCGTTCTTTTTTTTTCTTTTTTTGATATCAACATGCATTTACATAGGGCGTGATATTGGATATATGGGGGCAAGACAAGCTTAGAAGCACACATATTACATAGTTAGACATCATATTGCATTTTGGACATTATCTGTTTTCTTTTTTATTGGGTTTTTAATTCTCTTTTCATTTCAATGTCATAGCATAAAGCCTAGGCAATGCGTACAGTGCTTCGGCCTGACTCCCTTGCCATTCATACGTTTCCCATTTAATCAACCCCAGTAAGTAACCCATCAGAACTCCACCTACCCGTAAGTTCCAAGGCGAATCAAACCCCAAAGAAGAAAGGCTTCCGGTGCTCCGACAACGGGGCAGCGGGCACTCTCATCGGAACAGGAACGGTATCCTTAAAGACTTCAACCGGGAGAGGAGCGGAAGGGACAGTTCCATGTGTTTCGGGCCCCTTACCTTTCTCCCCAGTCTTCTTCTCATTGATGATAGGCACGATCACGCCGCATTCCCAGTTGCGGCAGTTCATCTTGAGCGATTTCGTCTTGGGATCCTTGACGATACGACCCCTGGTTCACGTTAGCTCCATTACAGCAACAGGAGTATAAGTGTAGGTATGTATGTACGCACCATGCACTCTCCGACAAATTCGCACTCCCCACATAAGCCCACCCGTGGCACTCCTTATTATCGGGCATCTCGATCGGGGTAGAAGGGTGGACGAAGGCAAGCTTTATACCAGAAGGAATGTGTATTAGTAAAAAAAAAAGGTCATTGTAACCAGCACGCCACAGCGGAAATACTCACCTTGTTATGCATCAAGACCCCACGCTCACTGACACAGTCTCTAAGCGTGTCCCGCGGGAAATTGGCACCCGACCACCAGGCTGGATTGAAACATATCGTGCCGATGGCGTCTTTAGCGTTGGGGTGCACGTCTCGTGCGGTCTCGTCTGATGGGAAGTAAATGCGGAAGTGGTCGAGACATTCTTGATTATGCGCTAGCACTTCTGTGGAGGGTTCCCTTCTCTTGTTTGCGGTTCGAAGCTCGTAATCGAATAGAGCGTTGTCACCTGGTGGGTTGGAGTTGTTAGGTTAGTCGGTTTTGATTTTGTAGGATGGTGGCATACCTTTGCAAGCGAGGTAGATGGAGCGCAGGAATGGAGTGTTGATATTTCCCAGTGATGAGGCCTGCGTCTTGTTAGTGTACCCAGTGTTGTATTAGGTGTGGAGGCATAGTAAGTGAAGATACTTACGACGTAGTCAACGTTAACGGGTGCGTTTGTCTCTAGGCCGAGAGTTTTGATAGCACGACCCAAGCCGCTGAATCCAGTGCGTTGCCATTTGCCGTCCGTGTTTGATCCTCCACTGATATTGTTAGCTGGTGGCTACTGTTTTGCTAGGGAAATCGGCCAGGGGGTACATACACTGTATGAACAAATGCGTAGCGCTTCGTCTCGGTAAAGTCAAACTCATCTAGCTTCTTGATGATGTTGCGGTGAAGTTCGGATGCCTGGAGGAAATAGACTAGTTCTTTGTAGAACGGGGTCTTGCCAGCTTCAGGAACTTCAAGTCTGGGGAGGTCAATAAGAAATACAGTCTGTACATAGTTAGAAAACTCAAGCACATCCGGTAGGCGTAGTCACGTACGTTTTCCATAAGTCTATCCTCTCCCCAGTCGGTGGGAGTGAGATTAGCGGAGGGGACTGCGATGCGAAGATATCCCGGGTGAAACATCAGAAGCAGCTTAGAATGCATGCAGAAAACCTGAGGCTCCATGGGTGGGAAACACAGGCGGAAATTGGGCATGTTGCTAACGTCCTGGCGATATTGCTTTTGCTGTAACCGATGTCAAGTTAGTCCATGTCAGTCAAGATCATAGTGCGTTGCTAACCGTTTCTTCATCGTTTGCTTGCATAATGAATAAGATTAGTGTCGATGAGTTGTTAAACTTGGAATAAAGCCACGGCATGTCCCACAGAAACGAGCTAAATACGCCCAACTCCAAGTCATCTCGCTGGATGACTTCTTCAATTGTGATTTCGTTTCCACTGCGAGGGAAACCGGCGACGTGTGTTTTCTTGACAGCTCCAAGAGGCCATTGGGCCACTGAGCGGGAGGTCGGTTGGATATTAACATTCGGGGCATTTGATGCAAGCTGGCGACAGATTTCGGTGCGAGACCGCACTCGAGCTATGCTCGCTTGAGGAGCAGATCGGAATGGGTTTTGTGGAGTGATGGAGTGACGGGAGGGCAAAGCCTGGGTCCTGGGGGCCTTTCCACTGCCTTCGGCCGGGGGACTAGAGGAGATGTCCTCGGCCTTGCGCTTGGCGAGGCGTGCAAGACGCTCCTCCTCCATCTGCTTCCGGTTCATGCCCAAAAGTGAGCCCGCCGACGATGTAGAAACCTCATGCGGGGCAGCTGCATGTTTGGCAGGCTGCGGATTCTCAGAGAGGTTGGTCTCGTCATTAGTAGGCTCCATCGACATAGCAAGAGCACGTTGCAGCTGCTCGTGCTCGTGTTCATCTTCAGACTCCGAACTAACCACAGACTTTGACTTAGGGAATATCTCCTCAATATCTGAGTCATTGCCCGAGTCATTGGTTAGGTCCACAAAATTATCCTGGGACGCCTGAGATGAAGGATGCCTGTTCTGCTGGCGACGCATATCTTGGCGAGAGGCCTCAATGGCAGCGGTTAAATCAGGATCCACTAGTGGCTCCATCATGCAGAACCCCACAAAGACCGAAATGCGGGTTCTTTTTGGGAAAGAAAGATAGATGGAGACAAAGGGATAGAGAAGATGTGGATAGCAGATAATAAATGGGATGTTTGACGTGTGTTCTGGTGGAGTATAAAGCCAAGGAAGATTTATGTGAGAATGCGAGAACGTATGCGCGGACAGTCACTAAAAAGACGCTCAAGGACCAGCTGCCAGATACTCAGATACCTTAGAGGGTTATGATTGTCCCGGATCTCAAACTGAGTCTGTTCACCTTCTACCTCCAGGTGTCTCGATATGGAGCCCCTGTTTGTCAATAGTGGTCACGTGAGTGGCCATGCCGTAATATCAAGAAGAGATCTGATGTCCACTTGTTTAGTGTCGCGCTTTTGATCCTATATCTAGCCACTTTACAGCATCTACTTCCTGGCTCATATCTTATACCACGGGTGGAATGATTATGCCTTGTAGTTCTAATCCTTCCCTAGTAGTTAAAGAGATGGACAAGAATCGAATTATACCACCTCCCTCCCAATTACTTCACGGGCAAAAGACAAGATTTAGTATTCAATACCCTATCGCCTTCTCCTTTAAACACACACAGGTGTATGATAGTCAAACCTTGAGCTATTCCCATTCACATGAGAACACCGAAATAGACTTAATCCCGAACATGTACAGGCAAATTGAAGAGAAAAGCAGCCGTAGAGTCCGTAATATCAACCCCAAGACCTGGGAAGTGAGCGCCGAGACGATGACTCGTCGGACCCGCAACAACACCATGAGGTCCCATAATGTGCGTTTCCTGTCACGAACGTTTCCCTCGCGCTCATCCAACCCTCGCACTGTTTCATCCCATCTCGCTTATCCACATCTCATCCATCACCCCGATGAAGAAGATCAAAAAGGCCGTTCATCGCATCAAGGTGCGTGCTTCGGCCACGCACAAGCGCATCCGAGGACAGTTCTCGGCCATGCGCGAGCGTATCCGAGGAAGGCTTTCAGCCAAACGCAAGTCTAACAAAGCGACGACCTCGGAGGACGCAGCTTCGGATGTCCCGCATGAATCTGACGTGGATGGAGCTTCGGAGGCCCCAGCACCGGAGGTCTTGACTGAGACCGACCGGGCCATTGAGGCAGCTGCGGGGTTCACAGTTTCGACGGTTCCACATGAGTCCTATCAAGCCATGGATGCAGTGCCAACATTGAAGAGGATTCCACACGCGTAGTAAGTTGACATAACCTCAAGGGCGCGATGCCACCAACAAGTCCATTTGATCTGACAATGTGCCAGCACCGATGCCCCGCTTTACTATATTAGCCATACTGTTGATGAGTTGAAGGAAAGGCTCTTGTTGCAGTTTGGCACAGAGTGGGAATCGTACGAGAACAGATTCCTCGCCGATATGGAAAGATTCCCCCCGGCGGTGCTGGAGGACCGACAGAGTCCATGCCCACTTGCTTGGCTGCCGCTGAAGGTTCGCGCCAAGATTTGGAAGTACGCTTTCGACGACGGTAAGGACGCCGTATTCCTCACGAAGAATGGGATGGTTCCCAAAATGCCGACTGCCATGCGATTTGTCTCGCTCAACTGGATGTCAGAGGCGTGGTTTGCATACGTCAATGCGCTCAGCAACAGAACTTTGGTGCTGATGGATTTCCCTCGTCACGCCTACCTTCAACGGCCATGCCCGGTTATCGAAGCTCTGATGACAGTCCGACTTCGAGAGGTCAAATTCGCGCTGGGTGACAACGACCCCATGAAGGCCAATAAGCGCACATGGCAATTCGTCCACTTCATTGTGAAGCAGAGGAATCGTGGATTTCTCACCGTCCGCACGTTGGTCATCGAATTGAGAAAGAACTGGGCATCTAGCCACTTCAACGAGCTGGATCTCGCCGGGCTGTTGACAAGTGGCGCCTTCACTCAAATTGAGCGAATTCGAATTCATGGAATGATCACAAGTAAGCGACTCGACCGCCTTCTGGAGCGAGCCCAACATGTTGCGCAAGTTTCGATGTGGTGATGGCTGCCGTGTTCTCAAGCAGAGATAGGGCTATGATGACTTCATAGGCACTGCAAAACCAGATCGACAATAGCAAAGAATGAATCTTTATCAGCAGTTGATTTGCCAAGTCCAAGGCCGACCAGGAGTAGCCTCTTTTCACTAGGTGTTTTCATTGCAATAGCCGTAGCAATCTGACGAGCAAGTAATTGGCCTGTCGTGTCTTGTCCAGGAGAATATCCACCTAGCAAGGTGGTGGTGGTTAGTTCTTTGAGGGGCAATAGAGCATCATCGCCCTCAGCGAGGGTGTGCATGCCCTCAGTGCCTGGGTTCTGGTTCTCCATCGGTACATGCAACTATATACCATTAGTTATGTTCGTTAAAGCCGAATTCAAGACATACCCAGTGCGCTAATCGTCCTGCTTGTGAAATTGTAACCATGATTTTGTCGCTAAAGCTCATTATCACCACATCTGTTTGTACCCCATTGACTAACCCCGCAATCTGCTTAGTGGTAGCAGGAAATGGCAGGTTGAGGGATTCTTGCAGAGAACTTGTATCAAAAGATTCAGCCATGGTGATATCAATTGATGTATCTCTGTCCGAATACTGAAGAGAAACAGGAAACAGAAGAATATAGGTTAGGTTAAGGTGTATCGGAGGTCGAACGTCCTTTCGTAGGCGCTAGTTTCACCGCCTCGGGCCAAGCCAGCAGTACCCGACCGCCTTAATTTTTTTTTGATGAAGAGACAGTTGGATCGCAGAGCTTGCATACTAGGTCAATTTTATTTTTTCTCTCAGCCAGTGTGGCTGCAGTATTCCAAGATGCCGCCCAAATTTACACCACGTCTCAAGAAAACAAAAGCACCGGCGAAACCCAGACGGCGAATCGGCTGATACCAATGTCGCACAGCTCCAGCCCGTCTCCAAGGATGAGAAAGAGGCGCGGCGACAGAAGCTGAAGGGGGAGCTACAAGAGCAGCATCCTAAGATGTCCGCAAAGAAGCAGAAACGCTTAGACAAATACATTGTATGTGGATAAGCTGCAATAGAAATATACGGCTCTAACATTCGTTCAGGAAAACAAACTCAAGAAGGAAGAAAATATCGAATTGTTGAAGAAACTAGCCCAGTCGTCTGTCGACACTTCGTCTTTACAGAGTTCCAGAGATCTTTCCAAGCGCAAGAGACAGGATGACGACGTACCTACACCAACAATTTCTGCGCCGAAACACAATGCTCCCGCAGACATCTCAGGATATGAGTCCGACGATTCGGACATCCACCTTAAAGTCTCCGATCCTGCAACAGACCCGAATGAACAAAAGTTACGAGAAGAGGCAGCTGCTGGAAGTGGACTTAAACGACCATTAGAGCTAGGAGCTGATGGATTCCCTGTGCTAAAGAAGCGAAAGCGCGCACCAAAGAAGAAACCCGCACCTGCGCCGGTAAAAGCTGAGGTCGCATGGGAAGGCTTCGATTCGGATGAGGAGGATGAAGATGAAGATGAAGAAGATATGGACGAGGAGTCCGGAAGTGACATCGAAGACGGATCTGAAGAGGAAGATACTTCGTCTGAGGGCACTTCCGGGGATGAGGATGAGGACGAGGAAGACTCAGACGATTCAGACGGTGATGACGACATGGACGAGGATAAGCCAACGCTGAAGACTCGCCAGTCGGCCTTCAAATCTTGGGCGGTGCAACAAATCAACGAAGCCGCAGGGTTCAGACCTACCGAGGGAGCCGTAACCCACGAAGAGCAGGTTTTCGACCCATCTAAGTTGCCAGCAACCTACAATACCGTCCAAGAAGAACCTCTCCCTCGGGAACTCCAGGTAACTCTTGGCGATCCCAATCGCAAGGCCTACAGTGTTGCGGTAGACCGCACGGAGGAAATCCAAACTGCCCGTCTTGGGCTCCCCGTCGTTGGCGAAGAACAGAAAATCATGGAGGCAATCCACAACAACTCAGTTGTCGTCATTTGGGGTGCTACTGGTAGTGGAAAGACAACCCAGCTTCCCCAGTTCCTCTTCGAATCTGGCTTCGGCTCCCCGGGCAGCCCTAATCCGGGTCTAATTGGTGTCACCCAGCCCCGTCGAGTCGCGGCCGTGAGTATGGCGAACCGCGTTTCTCAGGAGTTAGGTCAACATGCCGAAAAGGTGTCCTATCAAATCCGATTCGAGTCTACGGCATCGAAGAAGACGGCCATCAAATTCATGACTGATGGTATTCTTCTACGAGAGATTGCAGATGACTTTGCCCTTCGCAAATACTCTATCATTCTTATTGACGAGGCTCACGAACGCAGCGTCAACACTGATATCCTGATTGGAATGGTCAGCCGTATTGTGGGCCTGCGCAAGTCTTTGAGCAAGGAGGACCCGTCTGTCAAGCCTTTGAAGGTCGTCATCATGTCGGCCACTCTCCGTATCTCGGATTTCACCGAAAACCCAAGTCTCTTCCGTGATGGTGCACCCCCATTGGTCCAAGCCGAGGGTCGCCAGTATCCTGTTGCAGTTCATTTCTCCCGCCGCACACAGCGCGATTACGTTGAAGATGCATTCCGCAAGGTTTCGCGCGGACACCGTAAACTACCTGCCGGTGGAATGCTTGTGTTTTTGACTGGCCAGAACGAAATCCGGCAGCTTTCTAAGCGACTGAAGCAGGCCTTCAAACCTACCCAGCGGGAAGATACGACACAGGCAAAGGTACAGCTCTCAGCTAATGAGGCACCACTGGAAGCAGAGGACCTTGAGCTGGGCGACACCGAGATGGACAACGCAGGACATGATGATTACGACAGTGACATGGAGATCACCGGACTGGATGACGCAGAGGAAGATGAAGGCTTTGAGCTTGCTGAAGGCGAAGAGGCCATGGACTCGTCAACTCGCGTTCACGTCTTGCCTCTATACTCCCAGCTTCCCACGAAGGAACAGATGAAGGTGTTTGAACCGCCCCCAGAGAACTCTCGAGTGATCATCCTCGCAACCAACGTCGCCGAGACATCTCTTACCATTCCCGGTATCAAGTATGTCTTTGACTGTGGTCGCGCCAAGGAGAAGCAGTTCGATCTCTTCACTGGAGTGCAGAGCTTCCAGGTCGGCTGGATCAGCAAGGCAAGCGCAAACCAGCGAGCTGGTCGAGCTGGTCGAACAGGGCCCGGCCACTGTTACCGAATGTACTCATCAGCGGTCTACGAAAGCGAGTTCGCCGAATACACCGACCCAGAGATCCTCCGCACCCCCATCGAAGGCGTCGTCCTCCAGATGAAGAGCATGGGTCTACACAACGTGATCAACTTCCCATTCCCCACACCCCCGAGCCGCCAAGGTCTCGCGAAGGCAGAGAAACTCCTCAAGAACCTCGGCGCCCTCACAGCCGACGGCCAGGTAACGCCCATCGGCCGCCGTCTCTCAACATACCCCCTCTCCCCCCGGTTCAGCAAAATGCTCCACATCGGCCACCAACACGGCTGCATGCCCTACGTGATCGCCCTAGTCGCAGCCCTAGCAGTCGGCGACCTCTTCGTACCAGAGAACCAGCTCGACCCCAACAACCCCCTACCCACCACATCCAAGAAGCAAGTCAACGACGACAGTGACAGCGACAGTGACAGCAACAAACGCAAGGTCTACACAAACGCAGACCGCCTCGCAGACGACGAGCGCGAACAACGCACAAAAGCGTACGCGCGCGCCCAACGCCTCTTCAGCAAACACGACGACACCTCCGACGCCCTAAAATCCCTCTCCGCAATCTGCGCCTACGGCTACGCCTCCGACGGCGACGCCTTCAGCGAAAAAATGTTCCTCCGCGCAAAGGCCTTCAAAGAAGCAACCCAGCTCCGCCGCCAGCTAACCGACATCGTGCGCTCAAACAACCCAGGCCTCGTCCCCGCCTACGAAGCCCGTCTGCCAGAGCCCTCACAGAAGCAAATCAAGGCCCTCAAGCAGATCGTCACAGCTGGCTTCATCGATAATGTCGCTATCCGCGCTGATCTCGCCCCCGTCCCGCCGGAGAACCCGCGTGCCCCCCCGTCGCGCCATAGACGTCCCTTACCTGACGCTCTTCCGCTCCCGAGACGGTAAGGGTCAGGATCTGCAGGAACGCGCTGTCTATGTGCATCCGTCTTCGCTGCTTGCTAAGCTCACGCCGAAGGAAATGCCGCAGTATATCACTTACTCGCATCTGCAGCAGTCTTCTGCTTCGCTGGTCTCGGACCAGGTGCCTAAGATTAGGATGTTCCCGCTTGTTGCGCCCAGTGGGTTGCAGCTCTCGGCGATTGCGCATGATACGCCGCTTATTGAGTATGGAAAGCCGATTGGTAAGGCTGATGCTATTGAGGGTGTGCCGCCGCGCAGATCCTGCTGGGTTATTCCTGCTTTGGTGGGTGATGGCGGGGGTGTGGGCTGGCCGATGCCTGCTAAGAAGGTTGTGCAGAAGAAGGATCCGAAGCAGGGTTGGGTTATTGAAAAGTTTGTGGCATAGGTGTTGGTTTTGGTGTATTATAGATGAGGTTATGATATCCAATTGTTCATTTCTTGCATTCAAAGAAGATTGTACAGAATAACATGGACAACAATAAAACAAAAGAAACTTGTTCATGCAACCCTATTTCCATGATAATCCCACATAACCCTAACACCATCAACACCATTACTCGAGAAACCCCTAAGCAGAACCAGCAGAGAAAGTAAAGAAAAAAAAAAAAGTCAAACCCGAATCTAATCCCTCCTCTTCTCCCGATAATCACGAGAACTAGAAATCTCCCCAGTCTCCCAGATCCTCCTCCTCAACCCAAAAGCCCTCCGCAACCTCTCCGTCTCCTCAATCTTCGCCTCAGCAAGCTCATGAACCTGATAGGACTTAAGATTGCGCCTATCCCTCCCAGTTCCAGCTCCACCCCCAGCCCCAGACACAGGCTTCTTAAATCCGGATTCGGCACGCTTCAAATCATCCTCTAGCTCCTCCAGCAACCGCTGCCGAAGAGCATCACACCGCTCATCAATCTCCTCATCACTCAGAACCTTCTCTCCCTCCGCTTCACCATCTTCTTCTTTCTTAACTCCACTCTTCTCCTTCTTCTTATCCGCCTCCTCTTCAATCCGCTCATTCTCCTCTTCCAGTCGCTCCCGCTCTTCCATCACTTTCACCTCGATCGCGCGCTTGCGGTCGTGCTCCAGGATCTGCTTGTCCGGCATTCGCTGCTTGAATGGTCGGTCCATCGGGCCGCTGCCGTTTGCGCCGCTGATGGGTGGGTAGGGAGCGCCGTAGCCTGCGCTGCGGGGTTTGAGGAGCGCGGAGTTGCGTTGCACATAGCCCGATGTGCCGCTGCCGCGCGGGGTTGAGAGGCCGACGTTGGAGGACATTTTTGTGGTGGTAGGTGGGTTTGTGTGTTGGTTTCAGGGTGTAGCTTGGGCCGGAGGTCCTTTGCTGGAATTATTTCACGTGGTTGTTTTGATAGTTGGTTATTGTTGTAGGTTTGTAGGTTGTTGGTGGAGAGAGCTCGGAGCTGGTCCGGATCCCGGCTAAATGTAGGTTCTTTCGAGCTCGGATTGTGGTCTCAGTAGTGACGGGTGGATTGGTTGACACCGTGGGTTTTCATCCGTTGACGCGCAGAGTGACAATGCTGATCAAGTGTCGTAAAAGTGGAAGTGCAGACGGGTTTGCTCCAACTCTACCAAAATGCGCCGCCTTATCGGACATCACGGGATCCGGGTCACGTGTGATATAATTTATATCAGTCACGTGCTCACGAGCGATGGTTTAACCTGTCATACCTTTTTAAACGTTTCTTTACATGTTCTCGAATGTCGGTTTGGGATAATTTAGCTAAGGCCCAAACGGTTGTTATGCACTATGATACTCTACATCGGAGTCTCCAGCTAGAGGCGCTGATTATGCTAGATTGTATGAACGAGTTGGTACAAATCTACATCATTCCCAATGATACTAGAGCAAAGTTATAAAGTCAAGTCATAATGCATTGATAATACAGCCAGTAGCAAGAGAAAGAAAGAAAAACCACGAGAAAGTATCAACACAGCATGACAACCCGGAAACAAGCAACACGATGTCCACGAGAGCCGGCAGCTAAAACAAGCTCCCAAGCCAAGTAGCATCGTCCATGCTAACCGAGAAGCACAAAAGCAAGAACACCTTTGACAAGAACACCTTGATGCGAAAGGAAAGCCGTGGACCCCGCGATCAGGAATCTGGCCGTGACTTGGAATATGTTGACTCGGCCAGATAATATCGGAAAGAAATGTGTAGGTGAAAGAAATAAGTAGTAGGTGGTTCTGGGTAGATCATGCAGATGCCATGGCACAAGCTGTGCAAAGTGGTTGATTTGATTCTTTTCCTGGTATTTTCTGCTGGATCCCAATGTGAATGTGGAAGGTCCGGGACTCCATGCTATGGCATATGCGCTCGGAAATCATCAAGAGCGAAAGATCAAATCTGTTCCCCCTTTCCGAGCCGGTTGCCGATATTTTCCCCCATCACAGCCCTTAACCCCGTGACAAAATAAAAATAAATGAAAGAAGTGGACAGAACAAAGACGCCGGAGCCATATCGATTCTCGGACCTGGATCTCATATCGAGAAGCATTGACAGTGATTCACAAACACAATCGTAAAAATAAATGAACATGTCAAGAAAGAAACAAGAACAAATAAGGTAAGATAAGAAATAAGTCGGTGGTCCGAGATCGAGATCGAGATCAACAAAAGAAAAGAACAAAGAAATAAAAAGAAATAAAAACATTCGAGGCCCTCATTTTGCGCCGTCAAAGCCATGGTCAAGTAGGGGAGAATCACATAAACGTCGGTAACATATATCCCGCCTGATTCCCCTGTATGTATACGCCCCATATTAGATAGAGAACAAGAAGTGACTCGGCTCAGATCATATCAGGATTAGAAAGATTATGTTGGGCGAGCAAGATAAAGTGTGCAACGAATTAGTGAGCACTAGCGACATCGACCGGGACGGTAACACCGGTGTTGCCTGTCTCGGGACTCGAAACCGAGGTCACTGTGCTCTTAGCGAGGCCCTTCGACTCGAGGGTGGTATCGACGGTGGTCTGGGCATCCGTCGGAGGAGGGGTGGGTGGTGCGTTACCCACGAAAGGAGCCCGGGGCTGTTCAGTGGGAATTGAACGCTTGACGGGTTGTGGAGAGGACTTGTGGGAATGAGGGGGAGTGGTAGAGGTGGTGTGAGACAGAGGGACGGTCGCAGGAGAGTTGGGGTCAAAAATGAGCTTCTCGATAGCAACAATCTGCTTGCCATAGCTGAACTTCTTCAGCTGGCTGAGAAGGGGCTTGATCTGCTCGATGAGGGCTTCACGCTCGGCATCTTTCAATTGGCCCAGCACTTTTTCTGTTGGAGGGTTAGTATAACACACAACTAGTAAAGGGATTAAAACTTACGGATGACATAGTTGCCATACTGATCACGCATGAGACCAAGGAGAGGGCTCTCGCCGCGGTCGTTCGTAGAGGTTAGAGTGCTGATGATGTGATTACGCTCATGTTCCGCACCGAACTCAATGCTCTTTTCGACGACGTTGCTAGCAAACTTGTGCTTGGAGTAAGCGAGGAGCTGTCCCATAACAATGTCGATCATGCGAGTGCGGTCCTTCTCGTCACCGTTCTCAATAACGTGCTGGATGACATAGTTGCCAAACTGGTCCGGGATCAGATTGGTGGTGCAAGCATGAAGCTCGGCCAGAATGGACTGGCGGTCGACCTCCTCACAGTGCTCAAGCATTCTTTGAATTACACGACAGCCATAAGGATGGGCAGCGAGTCTGTTGACCTGGCCGCGGAAGGCATTGATGATGAACTGCACGTATTGCGAAGGAACACGCTCAATGGCCTTCTGGATGACGTGGTTGCCATTCTGATCACGAACGCACTTGAGGACATGGTTCTCTAGTTCCTTGACCATCGCAGCTTGTTGGTCAGTCAGGATGTGCTCCAGGGCCTTCTGGACCACTCGGCATCCATACATCTGGGTCGGCAGGGCCAAAACATGGCCGCGCATCTGATTGGCGAGTATCTTCTTCTGGGTCTGGTTGCCGTGCTCGAACAACTTCTGGACGACGTAGTTACCGAAGACATCGGTCATCAACTGAAGACAATTGGGCTGGATTTCACGGAACACCTGCTCCTTCTCATCGCTGTTCGCGGTCTCAAGCTTCTGTTGAATAAAGCGAGAGCCGTGCTGGTCACCACTGAACTCGACAACATGGTTGTAGATGTCCTTCAGCTCGTAGCGCTTGTTGCCCTTGCTGTTGGCCCTGAACTCCTCTAGGAGGGGGCTGCGGACAACCTGGGTAGGGTCGTGCTCGCGCTGAGTGCGGGACACCAGAGCAGCAGCACCAAGGCCACTAAGATGGCCTACTGGGTAGAACCCGGACATAGCATTCAAACGAGAAGCCTGGTAAGCTTGGAAATCGTAAGGAGGGTACTGCATCCGCGAGGCATTTTGGGCAAGCTCCTGCTCCTGGAAATTTCGGAGCCTGCGCTCAAAGGCTGCCACCTGGCTTTCATTTGCACCTGCGTTGCGGTACTGAGCGGCGGCCCCGTCTACGCCGGTGTATATTGGGCTATCTATGCGGGCATAGTCCGAGGGTGAGATGGAGCCGGTGTTCGCAGCTCTGGATCGTGCCGCATAAGCAATCTGCATCTCCTGTGCAGCCTCTGCGGTGTATCCAAGTGCCTGGTAGGTATCTTCGTTGTTCTGATACTTCCCACGCTGGAAGGTGCCATCAAAGGAGGCGTGAGGAACGAACGAGGGTCTTTGGGCCGCTTGCGACGCGTAGTTAGCGTCGTTGAGCTGCAGCTTGTTAAACCCGGCGGTAAGATCCATCGACCCACTGCTGTAACGGCCATCGATGCTGTGAGTGTCAGAGTAGAAGGAGGGATGAGCTGAGTGAGCGGGGCGTTGGGTGGTATAAGAAGCGGAGTTGTGAGAGGCGTGCGATAGTGCGCTGCGACCCTGGGGCGGAGAGACGTGCTCGCCAATTCCAGATCCCAATGACCCCATTCCCATTGAGGCACCCATGCCATCTCCGCTTGCACCATCGAGAGGGTTCGCAAAGCCAGGCTTCACAGGGAAAGTCGTTCCCACAGGGCTGCCACCCAGACCGGTCGTGTTCATCTGGCGTCGACCAGCAAACCCACCGAAGGTGATGCCTTCTCCAGAGGGGGACACACCCTCCGACCCAGCGTTGAGGTAGGGTCGGTGGCTCGCGGCGCCAGCGTTGGTGCTGATGCCAGTGGTGCGGGGCAAGGCAAAGTACGAGCTATCACTGGCTTCGTTGATAGCAGGAGCACTGCGGTCATTCGCACGAGTCTGGGTGGGGGATGTTGCGAGACCTCTATTCTGGAAGGAGGGGTTGGTGTTGACGGTGCTCCATGGCAGGTTGGCACGTCCCGACCAGCCGTCCGACTCCGATGTAGAGAGAAGGGAACCCGATCCAGATTTGCCTTCGAATGCAGTCTCGCTCAGGTGTTGCTCTACAAGCTGGGTCAGCATAGCTCAATTCGTGATGGGGAGACGATTCACTCACCATCTCCGAATCCTCCTAGGTTGGAGTCACCCCAGATATTGTTTTTCCAGCTAGCTTTACTAGCACCGAAACCTTTACCGACACTGTTGCCTTGTGATCCGCGGCTGCGGTCGTTCATCCCGGATGAACTCATGTTGGACCGGTTTGATCGTGCCTAGAGTCCCTGTTATTATCCGCATTCCACTGATCGACATTCACGGTGCCACTCACGTTGTGTACGCTGGTTGCATTTGCGGCCATGGTAGAAGCCATCCCAGGAAATATCCGATCGGCAGAACAGTAATTCGATATGTACTCGAACGGCGACAATTATTTGTGGTTCGGAGTGTTGTCTCGTGGTAATAAATCACAGAGATGAGACGATCGGCCGATGCTGTGTCGACTAGTATTTGCAACCGGGCACCAGGCACCAGAGACGGCGTACACGAAGGAATATAAGACTGTGATAAGAGAAGGGGCGCGCGTTAGCAGGGTTCGAACCATATTGGGGCAATGTTGCATCGAGATGTCGGGTTTGGAGACAGGTACAAGGGCAGCTAGGGTGTTCAAGTGTCTGAAAGGGAAGGCTCACCAAAAGAGGGGATAGAAGGGATCACAAGAAAGAGCGAAATGAAGAAAACGAACGTTGTCTTCTGTATTGCTCAGCGGCGAACCCAGGACATGTACAGATTATACAGGAGCAAGAGAGGAAGGGAGAGGGAAGGGAGGAAGAGCGACGAGCTCTGAATGAGGCGAGAAATGCTGAAGGTGGCAGGAAGGTCGATCGAGCCTGACAGCGATAGAAGATGCAAG